GCACTTGAAGCATCTGGTCATACTGCATTTACAGTCAGGATGAACAGAGCAGGGAATGCTGAAGACCAGTTCACTTTCTCCTTTTTGTACATCTAGGATCTCAGCCCAGGGAATAGTGCCACCCACAGTTGAGTGTGCCTTCCAACTCCAACTACCCTAGTCAAAAGAATCCCTCACGGGCATGCCCAGAGGCCTGCTGACAATTGAGAATAACCACCACAGTCTGTTTTGTTTTGGGGAGGGGTAGTTATGGGCCTTTCCCTCCTAAATGCAAAGGCAAAGTCCCAGGTGCCTTTGAGCCTCTCTGTCGTCCAGCAGTGCCAGGTGTGCTTACGTCAACAACGCTTCATTGAAAGTTGTAGTAATTTGATCACACAGATGAATGTGTTCGCTGTGGTGAAGGGAACATTCAGAGACTCAGTTATGGTAAAGACAACTGAGTGAAGTTTTAAGCTTAGCCATGGATGCTCAGAAGCTCACCTTAGGAAATCTTGGACCTGAAGAGAAGAGTGGAATCTTAGTGTTTGGGGCTGAGAATAGGAAGTGGGAGAGGTGCATATACCAGTTACGGAAGAGTAGCTTGTTGCCTTTGACTTCAGTGGCTTCAGGAGAAGCCAGCAGTGTCAGAGATAGCAATTGCATTTTCCTTTAAAGATGTAATAGTCACTCATTTGTTAACTCTTGCCAAGTAGGGCCATGAACTCTGGGAAACACTGACAGAAAATTGAAGGGAGAGATTCTGTAATTTAGTGTCTTATTACAGCGTGAGAGTGAGCTGGGCGTATTTCTCTGGTCTTCATTTTCTGCCAGGAGGGTCCTCTAGAGCAGGGGGAGTTCCGTCTAGTCTGTTGGAGCTGAAATTCCATGACAGTGAGTGTGTTATGTTGTTTTTCCTGCTTGTCAGAAAGTTTTCAGAAGACATCTAAACAGTTTTCAGTTTGCGTTGAAAATTTTTTTCCTAGGGTTGTACGTAAATTGGTAGTTTGAAGTGTGGGTAGCTGAGGTATGTCGCTGGTAATCAGGGCTTTCCATGGTAACTTAGATTTAAGAGCATAGAAATGGCTGCTCAGAAAGCAGCTTGGGAGGGGTCCTCTCGGTCATGTAGCTGTGAGCAGGCTGAACCTGCAGCTCATGAGGTGTCGTTCTGTAAAGTGTTTCCCTTTTAACTTCAACCGCAAGGTGCTTTTCAAACCAGGGACCAAGCATGGTGCCACATGCCTGTAATCCCAGCACTGGGAAATGGAAAAGGAGGAGTAGGAGTTCAGGTCCAACCCTCTGCTACTTAGAGAGTTTGAGGCCAACCTGGGCTACATAAAACCCCAATGACAAAGAAAAAGAAACTACTTTAGAAATCAGCTGTTCTTAGCTGATGTTTTAGGGAAAGGAAGGAAGGCTGCCATTCTCCCTTTCTCGACACTCAGCTCAGCTGTGAGGCCCAGGTTCACAGCCTTGATGTCTGTCCTGAAACCAACCTCCAGAACTACAGCTGCAGCTGGAAATTCAGGGAGGACTGTAGTAGACATACCATAATGCGTGTTAGGTGCCTGTGTCATACTACATACCATAACATGTGATATTAGATGCTTGTGTCATACTACATACTGTAACATGTGAGATGTTTGTGTCACACAACGTACCACAACACACAATGTTAGATGCTTGTGTCATATTACATACCATAACACATGATGTTAGACGTTTGAGTGATACTACGAGCCACATGAGGCATGACGATAGATAAGTGAACACATGATGTTATGTACTTGTGTCATCCTGCATACCATAACACAAGATGGTAGACATTTGTGTCACGCTACCTCTTAACACATTCTGGGTAGATTACATACTAACATAGGAAAGGTAAGGTAAGCTTAAAAAGAGGAACCTTTTAGATATTACTAGGGAAGGAAGAATTCCTGTGCCTGGCACCTGTATTGATTTGAATAAAAATAGCCCCTATAGGCTCATATAGGTGTGGCCTTGTTGAAAGAAGTGTGTCATTAGGGGTGGGTTTAAGGTTTCAAAAGCCTGTGCCAGGCCCAGGCATGTTCTCTCTCTCTGTGTGTGTCTCTCTCTCATTCTTTCTCTCCCTCCCTCACTCTTTTTCTGTCCTGTGATCAGGATTTTGCTCTCAGCTACTGCTCCAGCACTGTGAATGCCACCATAATGATAATGGACTGACCACCTGTGCTGCCTAATTTTATGTCAACTTGACAAAGGCTAGAATCATCTAAGAGGATGGAAGCCCAATTGAGAATGCCTCTGTAAGATCAGGCTGTAGGCAAGCCACTAGGGCATTTTCTTTAATTCTTCTTCTTTTTTTTTTTTTTTTTTTTTATTCTTGACATTCCTTTATTTCTTAAAATGTTTTTTAAGTCAGTCTTTTTAAAAATTTATTATAATTTATTCACTTTGTAGCCCAGCTGTAGCCCCTTCCCTCGTCCTTTCCCAATCCCACATACTTTCCCTCATCTCCTCCCATGTCCCTCCCCCAGTCCACTGACAGGGGAGGTTCTCCTCCCCTTCCATATGACCCTAGCCTATCAGGACACATCAGGACTGTCTGCATTGCCTTGCTCTGAGGTCTGGTAAGGCTGCCCCCACCCTTGGGGGAGGTGACCAAAGAGCCAGCCACTGAGTTCCTATCAGAGGCAGCCCCTGTTCCCCTTACCAGGGAACCCACTTGGACACTGAGCTGCCATGGGTAACATCTGTGCAGGGGTTCTAGGTTATCTCCATGCATGGTCCTTGGTTGGAGTATCAGTCTCAGAAAAGACCCCTGTGCCCAGATGTTTTGGTTTTGTTGCTCTCCTTGTGGAGCTCCCAGATGTCCCTCAATTGAGGAATGGAGACAGAAATTGTGGTACACTTGGACTTTAGTTTTGTGCAGGGTGATAAGTATGGATCTATTTGCATTTTTCTACATGTAGACATCCAGTTAGACCAGCACCATTTGTTAAAGATGCTGTCTTTTTTCCATTGGATGGTTTTGGCATCTTTGTAAAAAATCAGGTGTCCATAAGTGTGTGGATTTATTTCAGGGTCTTCTATTCGATTCCATTGATCCACCAGTTGATTTCTATTCCAGTACCATGCAGTTTTTATTATTGTTGCTCTATAGTACAGCTTGAGATCAGGGATGGAGATAATTCCAGAAGATCTTTTATTGTAGAGGATTGTTTTAGCAATTCTGGGTTTCTTTGTTATTCCATATGAAGTTGAGAATTTTTCTTTCAAGATCTTTAAAGAATTGTGTTGGTAATTTGATGGGTAGATAATTAGACATGTTATATAGGATAAACCTACTAAAATCTGTACACCTAAAGAAAGTAATCAAGAAGGAGGACTCTGGCTAAAATCCTCAATCCCCATTCAGAAAGGCAAAGAAGATGGACATCAGAAGAAGGAGAAAACAGGAAACAGGACAGGAGCCTGCCACAGAGGGCCTTTGAAAATCTCTACTCTGCAGGGTATCAAAGCAGATGCTGAGACTTACGGCTAACCTTTGGGCAGAGTGCAGGGAATCTTATGAAAGAAGTGGGAAATAATAAGACCTGGAGAGGACAAGAGCTCCACAAGGAGAGTAACAGAACCAAAAAACCTGGGCCCAGGGGTCTTTTCTGAGACTGATGCTTCAACCAAGGACCGTTGATGAGATAACCTAGAACCCGTGCACAGACATAGCCCATGGCAGTACAGTGTCCAAGTGGATTCCATAGTAATGGGAACAGGGACTGCCTCTGACATGAACTGATTGGCCTGCTCTTTGATCACCTCCCCCTGAGGGGGGAGCAGCCTTACCAGTCCACAGAGGAAGACAATGCAGCCAGTTCTGATGAGACCTGATAGACTAGGATCAGAAGGAAGAAGAGGAAGACCTCTCCTATTAGTGGACTTGGGGAGGGGCATATGTGGAGAAAGGAGAGGGAGGGTGGGACTGGGAGGGGAGGAGGGGTTTATGGGGGGATACAAAGTGAATAAAGTGTAATTAATAAAAATTAAAATAAAAAGTTAATACAAAAAAAGACCTTTACCATATAGGATGCAAAGTTAATGCTCAGCTTGTAATTCATGAAATTCATAGAAAATGAAACACCACAATAGAAGAAATTGGCATGCCACTAGCAGTAGAGTTTAGAAATAAGTCAGATATCTAAAAAGATGGCTTTCTAGTCAAATAAATAAAATTCCAAATTAAAAGCCATTTACATATATGAATTATTAGCTTTTAAAAGATGGAAAGCCACACTGGCAGGATTCAAAGAATGGTTTTTCTGTGAGCGCATGTGGTACTATTTGGAGTAGGTTATCTAAAGCAAAATCTGCTTGACACAATGAGGAGGAGCACGCTGGCTTGTTCACAAGTTAAGAGCTTTCACCTTTACCGTGATTTGCTATTTTAAGTTTTAGTACAGGTGCTTGATGAGCCAGCAACAATATTGGCAGTATTTTTAACAACTATTGAATCAAGCAAACATAAAAAGTTAGTCTGAGATGTCGCTTTTCTAGTGCCACTCTAACTTGTCACAACTTTGCTGTTTAAATAATCTGATTAGCATCGCATTAGGAATTTTCCTGTCAGTTCACATAAGAAACTCTGCCTGGGTGCATATTCAGTGTTAGCAAAGGAAAGATTGTCACCATTTAAAAAAAAAATCATTTTTTTTGGGGGGGAGGAGTTTTTAAGAGAAATGAGATGCAGAATATTTCTTTATCCTTCACAAACTTTCCTACCTATTCAAAATATAGAATAAATAAGTGCAAGTAGGTAAAAGCATGATAATCCTTTCAAATTGGGCTCTAGAAGATGGTAAGTGAGTTATCCCTTCAGAAGCGTAACATAAGGGATAATAAGGGGTTTTACGAATTATTTCCCCCTTTAAAGATGTGAGGGGTTTTTTTTGTTTGTTTTTTTACATTAAGTGGAACATTCTATTATCTAATGAAGTAGAAGTGCTTATACTTCTGAAAACTTTTTCTTTTTTTTTTTTGATGTTTAGCTTACTGTTAACGAGGCAGCTGCTCAGCTCTGCGTAAAGGACAATGCCCTGTTAACGAGAAGAGATGAGCTTTTCGCCCTGGCCAGGCAGGTTTCTCGAGAAGTTACCTACAAGTACACTTACAGGACCACCAGGTAAGGTGGGAGCTGGCATTTGCACAGTGGGTAGGGGCAGAGTTTAAAACATTGTTCATGGATAGAATCTGAATGTGTCTGAGAAGGTAAGATTATGACTAATATGGAATTAAGTAATGCAGTGACTTTTCAAAGAGATTTGTTTAATTAAATTATTTTTAACTGACACTTAAAAACATAAAAAATGTTTTTATCAATGGGTACCATTTGCTATTTGAATAGACTATGCATTGTATGATGTTAAAATCAGTTGCTAAACCTACCAGCTCAAACATTTATCCTGTGTTCTTGGTGGAGACATCCCAAAGCCCTTCCCTAGACTTTGAAATAAATAAACTGTATGTAATTTGTTCACTGCAGCCCACTGCACAGTGGCCCCTGGAGCTTCTGATCTTAACCGCAGTTTTTCATTTTACTTAATCCTCCTCTGCCTCCTCCTTTGAAAGTTACAGTCTCTAGGACTGTGGAGTTCTTGCCGTGGCGTAGACATTCTGTCACACAGACCTTTGTTGCTGTGGTCTCTGCAGTCTTCCTGACACACTGATCTACTCTCTTAACAGCCAGAGTTGGTGGCCGCCGGGAGGAAACCGCTGCTTTTGCTAGTTACAGATTCTTGTTATTTTTCTGTTGTTGGAAGCAATACCACAGTAAACAAAACTGCGTTTTGCCTGCTCCAAGATACACTTTTGATATTTTAGTGTCTTTTTATAGTGATGCACAAGTTAGACTGACTTCTCATAGTTTACTTGGAGAGGATATATCAAGGTGTTGTCTCGAAGAACGAGACGTCCTAGTGCTACGGTGCCCTGTCAAGTATGTTAGTAACTCTGGCCTAGCTCCCAGAAGGAAGACTTTGGAGTCAGATAAGGACGTCTGCGGTGTTCAGAGATAGGCACACAGGTCTTATTTTAGATAGCCATATGCATTGGTTTCAAATGGCCATTTTTGTCATTATATTGTAAATGTTGAACTCTGAGGAGACACATTCCTTGATACTTTGTTGTTGTTATATTGTCATAGAATAGTGCTTTCTCTCGTAGAGTTCTCAGGCTAGAGGCTTTTAAAGCATGTAATGGTGTCTACAGCTCCCGTAATATTAGCTTGGAAATGATGGGACAGTGGTTACTGTATGCCATTTCTCATGTTGTGGTTCCAGAATTCAGTATTCTGAGGAACCATTACAGACTGACATCATTCAGTAATAAAATTCATTATCTTCTCAAGCTTTTTCTTTCTCCCTTCTTTTTAGGTTAAAATGTGGTGAAAGAGATGAATTATCTCCAAAGAGAATTAAAGTGGAGGTATGAATACATTTAATATATTGTGTGCTAATTAAGTTTTCCTTCATTTATAAGATCACCAAAATAATGTTAAAACTTCCTAATTCAGACAAGAAAGAAGGTCCCACAATTTAGAAAAAAAAAAAAAAAAAAGACCCTTAAAGTAATATAGAATTGTGTTACTCTGACGAACCTGTAGTAATCTCAGTGAGCAAGCCCAGGAGATTGATTTTAAACATGTTTTTGAGATTGTATTGCTTTGTTTTATGTGCATGGGTGTTTGCCTGCCTGCACACCATGTACCACACGTGTGCAGCGTCCATGCGGGGCAGAAGAGGACAGTGGGGCAGAAGAGGACAGTGGCTCCCCTAGAGCTAGAGCTATGTCTGCTTGTGGGCTACCGTGTGGGTGCTAGGAATCGAACCTATGTCCTTTGGAAGAGCATCCAGTGTGCTTAACCACTGAGCCATCTCTCCAGTCTCTCCCCTCCCCTAGGAAATTCTTAAATTTGTATTACTGTATTACTAGACTGATACCCCGTTGATTTACCAATTAGCGTCTTACAGATTTGAAGGTCTTCAGATGGCTTAAATGGCTCATTTTTTCTCACGTCATTAGCCTGAAGCCCCTCGGAAGCCGACTTTTGGGATCTTGTCTTCCTCAGGAACCAGCAGCTCAGTAGCTACACTTATGAAAACATCACTGTACTTAAAACCTTGCTCGAGGGTCCCTGGTTGAAACTGTTCTTGTAACTTTAACTTGTATGTGTAAGGTGGACCTGGAACTAGAAAAGCTGCCCCTCTTAGGACGCCTGAAGGTAGAGAGTGGTGTCAGAGCTACTGTTTTTCAGTTGGGTTGCATACCTTTTCTGAGTCTAGTCTGCAGCAGAGTAGAAGCTGTCACCACAGGCCTTACTTCCCTCTTGGGGGGTATGGGCCACCCCATTATTTCATCTCAGGTCCTGGCAGATAAGCTTTCCTTCACCACCTTATGCTTTCTTGGTGTCTGTGTGTACCAAGCCAAAATTATCTTGTAAAAACATACATTTTTTTTCTTGCTCTAATCTTCCCAGTGGCTTTCTGTCCCTGTGAGGAAACTAACCTAGGAGGTATCTGTGACCCTCACAGTCAGGCTCCAGCTTGCTTCTGTTCTTTGCTATTTAACATTGATTCCACCTATACAGACTGACCAACAGCCCATGGCTAGGTCTGACCAAGCTCAGTCCTCAGCATTCACTATCGGCATAGGCGGCCATAGTTTATAGCTGAGTTTTCTGACTTCCTTGCCTCAGGTTTGTGAGGAAGGGCTTTTGTACTTCAAATCACACCCCAGCTGTTGTCCAGCTTGTTTCGTAACACCTATGATTATGAATTCTTGAGTTTTTGTAGTTTGTGAATTGTTTGTGTTTAGAATTGGTATGCTGTGCTAGAGGGTAGGGCTCTTACCTGCCTCCTTCCTACTACAGGGTGAGTTTGTAGCTTTGTATTGAATAGGCATGAATAATAGCTGTTGGATAAAATGGTGAATGACTTTGAATAAGCATTTTTGATTTCATTAAAAATATACTTTATCCTCAAGTAAAAGTTCTCAAATATTTTGTCCCCAAGGAACAATTCTCTTTAAGTTGTGCTCATATGTTGCCCATATTTGTCTTTGTTTGTTTGTTTGTTTGTTTGTTTCCCTGTGTAGCCTTGGCTGTCCTGGAAATAGTTCTGCAGAACAGGCTACCCTTGAACTCATAGGGATCTACTTACCTCTGCCTCCTGGGTGCTGGGATTAAAGGCATGCGCCACCACAGCCTGGCTGTCGTGCTGTCTTGATGTTCACTTAGTACTATTTGAGATAGTCCAGCCTCACGTGCCAATCCAGAGGCTTGTTGACATTGGCTAGCAGGCCATGTTGAAAGGACAGTTTTATTGTTATGTATTTTTGTTTGTTTGTTTGTTTTTGCTTAGTTTTGTAAAAGTTTTGTCAGTCTCTAGTGTTCCGTGAGTGCGTAAGGAATGTCATGCAGCGTTCTAGTCTGTACACCAGCATAGTCCTATCATGTTTTTCTTCTGTGTCTGAGTCATGTTTAGATATTGGAGCTGTCCACATGCTTCCGGAAGCTGATCCTGGAGTGAGTGGTATTGGGTCCACTCTCTCTAAAAGTTGTCACCGAGTATTAGTGCCTTGAGAATGCCTTTCGAAAACCTTCCAGGAAGGGAAGACCTTCCTGAGAGGGAGACTGTGGCATGAGAACATGGGAGTGGAGGCTTCACTAGGAGGTTTCATTTCAGCCAGGTTTTCAAGAAGGTAGGAATGCCAGTGCATGTTCAGGCATCATAAGGGTAAGCTGGCATGAGGGGAAGACGGAGATACAAAGTGCTGATCATGTTGAAAGAAACAATAAGTAGATACTTGTCTAGAGGTGTGGCTGACACCAAGGGCCTCATCAGGAAACCTAAAAGCAGGGAGATTTTAGAATTCTTTCAATCGAATTTTACTCTCATCTTAATAAACGTTTTTGTGCTTCTCAGTTTATTCCTTATTTGAGGATAGTAACATAAAAATAGGATGGATTCCCAATTGCTTAGGCCAAAATTAATGCAAGGACCACCTCTCTTCCCTCGGTTTCAAAGTCTGCTTCAGCCACCAGTAAGCACACATGGCAAGTTGCTCTCTTGTTCCTGTGTTTATCAGGACGTTTTTGCAGTGAACAACAACAAAAGGTGATGTCCAGCAGGGAAGGAAACAGTTTGGTGTGCTGTTGTCAGTGCCTTAGCAGGCACTGATAAAGCTGGGCTGTGTCTAGGGGCATCTCCTCTTCCCGTTGCTGAAGTCTGTGTCCTCCTAATCTGCACTTGAAGAACTGGGTGAATCTTAAGTCCTCCCCTGACCCCTCCCCTTTGAGGGAATCTCATTCTCTCATAATGATTGCCATGATTAGAATTAACAGAATTATCCATCTTTTGTTCCTAAGTGGTGTACTGCCTTACAACATAGTTGCATATTAAAAACATGTAGAGATTGTGAACGTTATCTTTTCAGTTTCGAAAGTAAGAGAGATAATCACAGAGTTCCTGCTTGGGTGAGCCTTAGGGAAAGCACCGTGGAAGTGGCTGTGTCTAGGGAAAGCCCCTGTTTAAGCCCTGTGTGTTAGTTAGCCAGGCTTCATTACACTTGGGCAGAGATGAGCCACTGCAGTAAACCCACCCACCTTTAGGTGAACTGAGAATGAATGAATTGTGCCCTCTTCTTCTTATTTTCACTAGGGACCCCAAGGCATCTGGCTGTGGGACAATCAAAACAGTAATGGTTTTCTAACATGCTGTTATGGGCCAGCCTTCCCTCAACCCCCACCCCCGACACGCTAGACACTTATCAGAAACCTTCTTGTGTATGCTTTATGATGTCCGCTTGACAGCTAGGGCAGACCCATAATTGCTATGTTGCTGTCCACGGGCAGAGCCAGGGTTTCCTGCGTGTGTCTTACATCTGAGCTTTTCTGGGTGCTGATGAACATTCGGGAATACCTCACTTGCACAGAAAAGCACTGCTGGGCTTAGGGTCTTCCTTTCACTCTGTGCTTGTAAAGGGAAAAGTGTATGCAGAAACTGGTGGTCTCTGAAGAAGAGGAATGGCAAGTACTGTTTTCTAAACCAAGGACGACTGCCTGGGAAACAGTTGAATGTTTTGCGTAGAGAATTTAACAGTGGTAACTACAAAATGTATTTATATGAAAGAAAGTGCTGTGATAGCTTCCTCTTTAGAAAGACTCTAAGAGGTATGTTGGGAAGATAGAGTATATCCATAAAAGTTAGTGTCATTTATTTATACTCCTCCTATGACAGGGTAAGATGGCTTGACAACTAATCATAGAACATGAAGAGCAAAGAGCCAGAGTCCCTGGGTGTCTTGTCTTTGCTTAAATTTGTTAAAATACTGGTTAAAAGGAGAGTCGGTTGGTAGCCTTTCTTTTGGGTTTCAGAACACATGAGCTTCCTTGAACAAACCATCATTATGTCCAGTCATGAGGAGCTTCCGAGACGGGACACAGTCCCAGGCTGCTGACTGTGTGAACACAGTCTGCTGTGTATCTTTTCCTTGTTAGCTTTCTTTGTTTGCCAGAATTGCTAGAAACAATTCCAGAACTGAACTGCCAGGACAGAAGTGAGAGGCGACAACTCCCCTGTCCCTGTGGAGGACAGAGTACAGAACCAACAGGAAGTCAGAGAACTGGGTTCGAACAAGAGAGAAAACATCTACCAGCTGCTCCAGGGGAGCGGGGAAGGGAGGGGCAGGGTCAGAATATCCACCTACGCCTACGCGCTCAGTGACTAAGCCTGTGAAAGGGAAGCTGGTCGAGGCTGAAGGAGGCTCTTCTCTGTGGATCAGAAAAGCAGAAACAGTACAGTGTGCTATTCATACAGAAAGCGTGAATAGAGAAAACGAACATGCACATGTGGGGTTAAGAACATCTGCTGCCACAGGTCGCTTCCAGACAGCTGGGCAGTGGCTTTCCAGCAGCGTGCTAGTGCTTGGTGGGAAGGAGAGAGAAGACCAAAGGGCTGAGACTAATTAGGTCACAAGCAGCCTGCAAACATATATCTTATTTTCTCAGTGCTGAGACCCAGAGTCTCATCACCAAGGGAACCCTGTGATTGATGGCAGCAGCCATCAGTGTGACATGGAGATAAATCGCTCAGAGCATGGTACAGCTGGTGCCTAGAAAGAAAGCTACAGACACCCAAAATAGGCCTTGTACCAAACACGGTAAGGGAGACCAAGCTATCCCTCTACCAGTCTCCCAGTGTCTTGGGGATGTTCTCCCATTTGTTTCTCTGTCATATATTCCAGAGAGCTTGTTTCTCGTTATTAATGACGAAGGTCTACCCATTTCCCTGCAAGCTTTCACATGCAGAGTTAGAGGGTCCCTTCCCCAGCTTTGTGACATTCTCATAGCTGAATAGTCCTGACCGTGTAGTCACTCTATGACAAGATTTGCCATCTGCATTAGTTCATTTAATACCCACAAATCTCCCCTGGGCAGGCAAAGCAGGTGATGTAATAATCTCCATGGAAAAATTGGGAATGCTGTGAGTGATGAGGTTGACTAGCTGAGACCACACATCTGGTCCTAACATGAGAAGACTGGCTAGTTCCTTCCTCCTTCACAAACCTCTTCTAACAGTGTTTGAGGTCCGGGGCTTCTGGGCCTTCCATCGGCAGTGCACCGCGGCCTGCTGTTGAACTGGTGGCTGCTGTCGGTCTTTAGGCCTGACGTCACCCCTTTGTCCAGAGTCACTACACCTCTTACCTGGTTTATGCACAGGGAAGTCCTGCCAGCCCTTAGGAAAAGGCGTCCCTGATTGAATCCATCCACTTTCTAGTTCCCCTCATGATCTGTGCCTGGTCCTGCGGCCTTCACTGTAGTGAATGTCCCCACAGCACTCCCAGGCCACTGTTCTCTGTCTTCACTCCAGCCATTAACATATCTGTCAGCATGGCCTTTTAAAATCAGGCTTGGCAGTCTTCTCTGAGAGCTTCAGTGGCTTCCTTTCACCATTTAGGTAAAGGGGATTTTTACTTTATTTAAGATAAGATTCCGATTTTGTAGCATTGTGTCTGAAGGCCCAGTGGCCTCTGGCCTGCATGTCTAGCTTCCCAGTATCCTTTTTTAATGGTATCCCCTACTGTAACTGTGATAAGTGATGGTGTGCAGCCTGTTGGTTTTGCCCTCAGGCCTTTACGTAAGCTTCCGTTTTTTTCCTGAAGAACTCTTCATTTTAAGCATCATGCCCTCCAAGCAGCCTTTTCAGTGTTCCAGGCCACTGTCCGCTGCCTTCAGTAGACTAGACTGCTTGTCAGAGTGCAGCAGCGTGCCTCTCCTGTCTGCTGCTGTTCACCAGAATACCTCCCTACCAGTACCAAGTGTTTTCTTGGTGGCTATAGTTTTATGTATGTAGTTCCCATTTGTCCTCAGATAGCTATACTGGGTACATTTCTCTAAAACACTTTCTTCCATCTGTACAACAGAGGAATGGGTAAGTCACCTACACTGGATTGGTTTATTTTGATTAAACCTGATGGCTTTTTGGCTGAATTTTCTAAACGGGAGAAACTTTTGTTGTTGTTGTTAATTCCTGTGTGCCAAGCACTGAGCTAAGTATTTTCTATGCATTGTCCTCCTAAAAATGATTGTATAAATTAGCCTCATGGCTACTGTAGTGTCCCTCTTACAGATGGGACATTACAGTCTATTCTGCATCCCAGAAATAGCAATAAAAGACTAGAATTCAAAACCAGCACAGATCATGGAGTTGCAGTCAGTTCCCATGAAAAATGGCTATTATTCATAGTCACGTTTCCGAACTGTCTTCATTTCAGAACTGTATGCATTGAGCCTAGCCTTGGAGCTAGTGTCTTTAGCTGTAGAATGGTGGAAAATAAGCATTGTTTGTGAGGGTTAAGTGGAAAATGCCTGTGAAATAGGAACCTGTACAGTTCGGGCTTCTGAAAGCCAACAGGACTCCTTGATACTTGATCCAAGTCCACTCACTTGATTTTAAAGGAAGGTTTGCTCAAGTGGAGGATGGAGTTTTAGGAGCAGGAAAATTCTTAGGAGAAAAACGGAATAACTAATAAGACGGTATACTTTCATGCTCTTATATAAAGTTGACTCTAGCTCTGCTGATTTTGTTCTGTACATTCCTGCATGTCAGTGTAGGAGCTAGAAAGGCTGTGTCTTCAGTACAGTCCAATTGCAGTACAGTCTAACTGTCTCACAGGGTCACAGTTATTTGCTTTTACTGTCAATCATGTTGTTTCATGTCTCACTTCAAACAGCAGATAATTAGCTCATTGAGGCTGTGCTGCCTTTAATCCCAGCTCTCAGGAGCCAAGGCAGAAAGGTTGGGCACTCAGGGCCAGCCTGAGCTACATTGTGAGCTCTGGGCCAGCTTGGACTGTAGGATGAGACCATCTCAAAACAATAATATCTTTTTTTTAATTAAAAATAGAGAATTAGATGTTATTTGGGAAATTAATTTGATAGCTTAAATATTTGAAAGCATGGTACATAAAGATTATAATGGGAGAAATTTTGAGAAATCTTTCATCTCAAATAAAGTAAAATATTTTATTACATCACCACATCTTTTTCTGCTAGGTTATTGTAACAAGTTTGGTTTTGCGTTGTTAGCCCTGTGTTAAAAGCATGTAGCTTATCCCACAGAGGGGAAGCTGCATTGGCAATGACAGTTTCTGTAAGGAGACCCTAGGGCCTTCTTAAAGTTACTAGAGCCATAGAGATTACCTGTGACTGACTTTTTTCTCATGTGGAACACCAAGCAGAGAGTTGACAAGAACTGAAAGAAATGTTGGCACATGTTACACATGTGTATCATACATGTGTATCATACATACACATGTATGATACACATGATGACTGAACTGACATTCAGTTCAAGTCGAAGCATTGCCTGGGTAGAGAGTGCCCCTCATAAAGACCCTGTTCCATAAAGAGTGCCATACTATTGCTGTTCTCATGTAGTAGCAGCGGTCTCATGCTATAAAGGCGTGATCTCATTGTCTCTTTCCTTTCGGTCCTCTGAGCAGCTCAGATGGTCTCTAGCCTTTACCTTCCCCACAAGAAGACTGACAAGGGCAGGTACCGTAGGCTGCAGGCTCCTCCTGATTAAGGGGACTGACTGCACAGTACTGGGAAATTCAAGTTGGGGGGCAATTTAAATTTTCCTTTTTACTTTTTAAGTTTTTTAGGTCTTTACCACATTGTTCATAACAAAGTTAGTTCTAAATGGATTACGAACAAACAACAACCAAACCTGGCAATTTGGCTATTTACTGGATTTCTAAAACAAACTGCCTTTTGAACTTTTGAAGAAGTCATGTTAATACACAGGCTCGTGCAAGTGTAATGTATAAACACACAAGCTTTGCAATTGTAATATATTAATTTCAGATGTCAAAACAAAAATAAATTGACACAGAATATTTTTAAAAGCCCAGCAGTGCCCAGTTAGAGCAGGGAAAGTCATACTCGTTGAATCAGATAAACTGGGAGAGGCATTTAACCAGTAGTTCTCAAGACCTGTGGGTCACAACCCTTTGGGGGTCAAACAACCCTTTCACAGGGGTCACACATCAGGTATCTGCACATTGGATGCTTACATTAGGATTCATAACAGTAGCAAAATTACAGTTGTGCAGTATTAATGAAAAATGTTATGGTTGCAGGTCGCCCACATGAGGGACTGTGTTAAGGTTGAGATGTACTGCAGCCTGTTAGAAGACAGCAAAGGTGGCTTCCTGGTGGAGAGTTCTGCCTCCTGATGTTTTTTGTAGTAGATAGTCAGAACTGTAGAAAAATGCTGTCTCCGTGGAAATGCTTCACAGTGGAAATTAGAAAAGGCCTGTGACATCCGGTGTTAGGAGGTGATTATTTAGATGCTGGTCGAGACGTTTGTCATCATCTCTGTGGTCACCAAGTTCACTTGCCCGTGCTAGTGCTGGTGCTAACTGCAATTTCCATATTATTTGTTTGTGGTTTTCTGGAGAAAATAAGCCATTGTGCCTTAAAAGACTGAAATGAAGTACTCTACATTAAAACCTCAGATTATTTAACAACTGAAGACAAAGTGTTATTTCTGCTTTGTGTGGTAACAAAGTCTGAATATCTCGGCTTTATGATCTGCCCCACAGGATGGATTTCCAGACTTCCAAGAATCTGTGCCAACACTCTTCCAGCAAGCCAGAGCCAAGAGTGAAGAGCTTGCTGGCCTCGGCTCGCAGGTAACACACCTTCAGTGGGCCACATGCAGATAGCTTTGGGGTGGGGGAGGCGGCTGGGTCACCTAGCTTCCGCCTGAGCCTTTGAGGATTGAGTTTGTTTCTGGTTACTGTTAAGTCTTCTCCACAGCTCTGTCTTTAAGGTGGTGGGAACAACTTGGTTTCATTTGGTTCACGAACAAAATATGACAAGCATTGCTTACTTATTCTGAGTAGTTCTGTAGGAAGTGCCATGTTCTCGGAGTATCAGGGAAAACAGCTTTTTTAGGTACAACTCCAAGGTAAAAGAGCAAAAGATCTCAATAACATTCTGTTACGCTGTAGCTCTTCCCTCATTTAAAGCCTTACAGAAGAGTTGTTATATTAGTGTGCAGCTTTGGATAATTCTGTTAATTTCTGTGTACATGTGTGTATGTTTGTGTGGACTTACAGGGCGAGGCTAGGCATGCACGTGTTTGCACCTATCTGTAGAGGCCAGGGGAAAGCTTTGGGGGTCGTTCCTCAGGAGCCAGCCTCCTTGACTTTTGAGACAGAGGCTCTCGTTGGCCCTGATCTGCTTTATTCTGCTAGCTGGCTGCAGAGCCCCAGCCTGCAGCCTGCCCCGGCCCAGTGCTAGGATCACAGTGCCCAAGGCTACCCACGCGGGGCTCTTCGTGTGGATGTGGGGCTTGAACTTGGCTCCTCAGGCCTGTGGGGCCCGTCCTGTGCTGCGTGAGCCGTCTCCCTACCTCCAAATCGTAGTAATTTTTAACTATGTATATGCTCAGAAATGGACATTGCCAAAGTTCTTGTGTGAATGACCTTTTTAGACAGCACTGCAGACCTGTTTGCATTCCCACTTAGTGTTTCCAAACCTTGTTACTGGGAAAAAGAGGATGAAGGCGGCATCCTCCCCACCCCCGCCCGTGGAATTGCCTGTTAAAATGTTATCAGCTAATTGGTTGAAATTTCCAATTAAATGAAGCTATTACCTTTGATCTGGCTTGTGCATGTTTAGAAAAGTAGTCCAGGCATTTCTCCTATTTATTTAATTCCTTATGTGTTCCCATCTATTGATTTTTACAATTCTGAATCATGAGTTTTGTAACCAATTTTATATAGTGGCATTCTTATAGTACTTTTACACAGCATGGTGATGAATCATCTCTGCATTTGGACTATTACTTCCTTGGCAAATGTCATAGGTACGCTGCTGTGAATATCACATGCAGGTAATTTAGAGCTGTGCATAGGAACAGAGCTCCTGAAATGCATGCAGAGATGACTTCATATGTCACACACCAGCCTTATATGTTAAACCATTTATACTTGGTTGGGAAATGAGATCCTTGCTGGCACCATGCTTCTCTGCATAATTTGCATTGTTTAATTTTGGTGGGAGGGGTGCTTGTCTTGTTCTTCTAGACAGCCATGTTACACCTTTTTTCCTCCAGATAGACTGTCATCATAGCAGAGACTGGTTAGCGTCACATCCTAAAATAAAACGCCAAGATTTCACCCTGTGTTCGAAGCAGCTGACAGCAGATACTGCTGTTGCTCTTGGGCTGCCGCTCCTCCTCCTCCTCCTCCTCCTCCTCCTCCTCCTCCTCCTCCTCCT